CTCCGGGGCTGCCCCTTCCTGGGCCGACGACCCAACAGCCGGGAAGAAGGCGACCCCTCCCCTCAGATCACTTCCCTGGGAGCCGGGACAAACCAGCCGGATTGGTCATCTGCCTTAACGTGACGATGTGGTTTGTAACTTACTGTCCAGCTGAACGCCGTCATGTTCTGAGGGAAAAAACTACAAATGACCTTCAAATCTATTATTTTAAAAATATTTTGGTCATTTTTATGTACCTTTTAGGTTCAGGCATTATGGTTTATGGTGGGGCGGGGGTATTGTTTCCAGAGTATAAATAAACTCATATTGCTTATAATTCTTCCTGTATTATCCTAACCCCTCCCTCCAAAGCTCATTTTAACTCTTGTTGGTCAGTGTCCTAGAACAGCATTTACCAAGACCCAGGTCCTTGTGGGCCTGGCTGAGCCCCACCCCTAGAGCTGTCTGTCACCACGAAGAGTCCCTGTGACTAGGTTTATGCTGAAGGCACCACCCTCGGCCGTCAGACACGGAACGGTAGCCACGGTCCCGCTGCTCACCGTGAGCGCACGTCCTCCGCTGAGACCAGCAGTGCGCCCTGCACATCGCCTCGGCCCAGGAAGGTGGGCGCAGCTCACCTGGTTTCTTGCCCCGTCAGTGGAAGGAGGGGCCTGTGGTGGAGAGCGCCGCCCTGGTCCTCACCGACCCCGGACAAGGGCCCCTCAGCAGAGGCGCTGGGACCCAGGCCTGAAGCAGCAGTCACTACAGCCGCTGCCATTTACTGAGACCCACGTGAGTGCCCTTTCACACGTGCAGCAGCACCGCAAACCTCTACAGGCGCCTGCCCCGGCTTCCAGGTGAGAAGACCATCAACACGTGCGCAGGCTGCCCGCCGCTGCGGGCCACAGCCAGCGCCGGCCGTCTGCTCTGTCTCGGCTCGGAACTCCGTGCTCTCCCAGGTGGGCTCTGGGCGGGAGTGTGGGGCTCGGCAGCTGTCACCAAGGGCTAGGGCTCACTCAGATGAAATGACGGTCAGGCCTCACTGCACGAGGCTGTGTGCACAGGTACGAGTGGACTCTTGGCCTTCATTTTTCAGCAGCAAAACCCCTGTTTTGAAATAAATCTTAGATCATAACATACAAAATGGAAAAAAGTGGAACTACTTTGGTTGAAATGAGGACGGAGAGGCCAGGGCTTGGCCCACTCTGCCTCCCAGGTCATTCTGCAAAGTCCAAGCCTTCGAAGAACAATATGAAAACTGCTGCTGCTTTCCTTCCATTTTTCAGATGCAAAAAGAAAGGCCTAAGAAAGCACCTTTGCACACACTTCACAGTGGACACAAACTACACTGAATTCTAGTTAGCTCAACCTTCCTGCCTTCCACAACAAGCTGTGTGTGCCCGAGGGCAGGCCTGGTCTTCCCTACAGTCCCTGCTACCATTAAGAAATAAGAAGAGACTGGTCCTGTGTCACACAGTGGGTTAGTGGCAGGACACTGGGCTCCTGGCCATAGACTCTGTTTGTAGGTTACCCCACCAGAATGAGTTAAAACCATCTGGAAGTAAAGGAAATTATCACTATCGACAGTTGATGCTTAGGATGCTAATAACATGCTAGCCATTCCTGGGGTCAGGGAAATACCCCAGATTTGTTAGAACAAAATAGGCCAATCAAGTGGAAATACCATGTTGTGCAGTCTTCCCCGGGCAGTTGCCAAGCCCAAATGAGATGAAGGTAAGGGTGATTTAAAAGAGAATTCTGGTTAGGGCACGATGGCAGTAACAGCCACATGGGCTTTCCGTCCTTTCACAAAAACAAAGCAATGAGCATAGTAAAAGAAAGCCCCAGACAACATGAGGGTGGCTCCTAACCTTGAATGTCAAGGCGTAGGGCCAGACTGTTCACAGCCATGATATCCACTGGGATCAGCACAGAGAGGAAAAGTTTTTATGGGCCTTGGGGTCAGTTACCCCAAGAATTACCATCAAATATGCATCAATTCTGAATAAAAACTCAGCAAGCCAGTGTGAGAACTGTCAAAACTTGAAGACTCACATGCTCTCATTCAAAAGTGAATTCAGGTCGTGTTCTCTCTCTCGCCTTCCGAGACGGCCCGCACTCTTGTCTGTGGAGTGTGTATCTACTATTATTTTAAACACCCCCACAAACTGCCCCCTGTACATTTCTCATTATAAATCTACTGTAACTCAAAAAAATAAAAGTCAATTCAAAAAAGACCAAGGGGGGGGATTTCCACTCCCACACATGAAGGACTAACATCTCTAAATTCCCCCCACACCATAAACAGAAAATCACACAAAACACACGAAACCACTGCTTCCAACGTACGGCAGCGTCGATGAAGGTAAACAAGGGGGGGGGGGAGGCACAACTGCCCCAGCTCTCTGTCTAGAGGCAGTTTCCAGGAAGGGGCAGGGAGACACCGTCCAGAGTCTAGTGGCCTCACTGAGTTAAAGAGATAAGAGTTCAGAAGGGCTAAGCTAGGGAAGAGGGAGCTGCTCAGCCAGCCAGCTCCTGGGATCTGCACGTGGGTCTCCTAGAGCTTTGACCAAGTACTAACCTGCATCCATGGAGGGTGAAAGTCTCACGTCCAGAAAGCAGTCGATCAGACAGTCCCTGGAACTCGCAGAGCAGCAGCAGCAGCTCATGCTTCCACGACCCAGAGTGTAACAGCCTCATAGCACACAGAGCAGTGCGCTGAGGCCTAAGGGAGATCGTGGCTAAGTGGTACATCTTACATTAGGTCTGGAGTAAAGTCTGCTCTGGACCTTAAAAGCAAGCCTTGAAAGGATCAAGCCAATCCACAAATAATCTCACTGTGTGCCAGATCAAAGCCCAGCACATTTTAAAGGAGTGACACCAAAATTCAGCATTTGACAGGATCGAATTCACATCCATCACCCAATCCAAAATTACCAGCTATGCAAAGAAGCAGGAACAAAAACTAGACTCAGAAATGAGACCATGCAATTATCAGATGGCTGCCTTTTAAAAACAGCAATTACAAATACGTTCACGAATGTAAAGGAAAATGAAAATAAGACAAAGGGGAGGTACAAGAAAGTTGCAAACCGAGCTTCTAGAAATGAACAATTTCTGAAGTGAAAAATACACAGGCTGAGAATAAAAGCACGTTAGACACTGGAGTAGGAACGGGGTCTGAAGACAGCAATAGAGACCCTGCAAACCGAAGCACAGAGACGAGACAAAAAGCCCAGGCGACTGTGGCCACCGCATCAAGTAGCCTCAAGTCACGCGTCAGCTGGAGTCCAGAGCAGACAAACAGCCAACGTTTTTCCAAATTTGGTTAAAACTATAACCTTACAGGTCCTAGGAAACCAAAGAACCCTAAGCAGGAGAAAAACACACGGTAAGACTATTTTTTTTTAATTATAAAAGCGGCCAGAGAAAGAGACATTATATACAGAGGAACAAATGTAAGAATGGCCGCCAAATTCTCACCAGAAATGCTGCAGACCTTCAGAGGATGAACATCTTCGAAGCGCTGGAACTAAAAACCCATCAGCTTGGAATTCTATGCCCAGTGAAAATATCTTTTTTAAAAAGGTGAAATAAAGACTGTTTCAAATAAAAACTGAAGGAACGAATCACCAGCAGAGCTGCAATACAGGAGATGTCAAAGGATGTTTTTCAAGCAGAAGGGAAATAATACCAGATGAAAATCTGAATCTGCACCAGGAACAGTAAATACCTGGGTAAATGTAAGACTTTCCATTCATTTAGTCTCCCTGAAAATACTAACTACCCAGAGTGCACTGTGGGACCTACACAGAAATAAAATGTGTGGCATCAGAAACACAAGGAATGGAAGTGAGGACACCAAAGTATTCTCACAAGGATCTCACAGTACGTACGAAGGGGCAGCTGTATTCAGGGTGCACTGTAAGTGGTGAACTTGTGTCGATAAATCCTAGGTCCACCACTAAAACAATAAAGCAGAGAATATAGCTAATAAGCCGAAAGCGATTAACATGACACCATAAAAAGCCACAAATGGGCATGAGAAGGGGATGGCGGAGGAACAAAGAACAGATGGTCAAACAGAAAACAGATGGTAGATCTAAACCAAACTATATAGGTGGTGAAAATAAACGGTCTCAACGCTCCAAATAAAAGGCTTCTGGTTAAAAGGGATTACCAGAATAGATTAAAAAAAAAAGACCCCAAAACTATATGCTGTTTATATGAAACCGACTTTAAACATAAACATGCAGATAGATTAAAACAATGGAGATGATTTAGAAAAAATACATATATACACACCAATCAAAGCTACAGTGTCTACTTAATACGAGATAAAGCTGACTCCAGAACAAGTATCAGAGAAAACAGCCTTCACAACAAGAAGTATTTATAAGGGATAAAAAGGGACAACAAAAAAAGGGTCAGTTCAAGAAGGCAGCCATCCTAAATGTGTGTGCACCTGAAACAGCTTCAAAATAGGAGAAACAAAAACTGACAGAACTGAAGTCATCTCAGTTCCAGCTGGAGATCTCAACACTCCTCTGTCAGTGACAGAGCAAGCAGACACCTAAAGAACAGCAAGGTCAGGGAACAGTAAACAAACCCAGCGGCCAGTGTGTCCTAACCAGCGTTCCTGGGACGTCCCACCCCACAGCACCTGGATGCATTCTTCTCAAGTACATCGGGAACACTCATCCAGACCGACTAACTGCTGGACCCTAAACAAGCTAACAGATCTTACAGAATTAAAGCCATACAGGACATATTCTCTGACTATAATGGAAGTAAACTAGAAATCAATAGAATATTGGGAAAATCCTTAAATATTTGAAAATGTAAGCAATATGTACACACCTAACGCATGGGTCAAAGGAAAAGAATCACCATAAAATGAGTTACCTACGGGGGAAAGAAGAGTGGGGGTCAGGACTGGAAGATGCAGCCTCTGCACGTGCCTGGTCGCATACCATTGACCTTGGAGCCATGTGATGTTTATTAACAGGGGGGAAAAGTCCCTAAAACTGAAAAAACACATGGATGTCATTTTAGTTTATATACCCAGCCCATGGCATAACCACACAGAGAAAATAAATGTTCAGGTGTTTTGATGGTACATCCCTAATAGGCTGCATTTAGTAGTTTTAGGGTTAGTAATAATTGTAATCTTATTTTGAAAGTACATTGATACTGTAAGATAGAGCAAGATAAAGGTAATTTTGTTGATTAGAAACCAAAATTATTAGTCCTGAAGGAAAATTAAGTATAAAACCCAAGAAGTAAAAACTCCGTGATCTTAAATTTTTTTGGAAATAACAGTATGAACTCATGACCTTATTTTTCTCCTTCTAAAAAGTATGTTTTTCTAATCTCTACACTGGAAAGGCCTAGAAGCAGTAATAGTGGTTAGCACCCAGATTGTGGTCTCTAAAAACTATCTCCCACTGAAAGAAACTGAGACTTCTTAGAAAAATGGCAGATTGAGGTCAGAAGCAGGAAGGACACCCCCAAAATGGGCCCAGGATTTCTTAATGGGAAAGAAAACAAACTGTTTAAAATGATAGGGTTGTGCCAAAAGCACACAGGAATCAACTCATCAAATACGCATCAAAAAGAATAGTGACTACATTGTAAAATGATTATAAATCAATAAAAAATGTTATAAAAAAAAGAATAGTGACTATAATTGATTGAAACACTTACATTTTAAAAAATCCATGAGTCTATGATGGGGAAAAATTGGAGGAGGTTCCTAAGACACAGACCTTATTTTGAAAATCAGTTAAGTACAGAAACAAAAAAAGTGTGTTTCTTGCCTTTCCTATACAAATTGTATGTCAAAGTGATAACATAATTGCTGATGGAAAAAAAATGCTAGTAAATGTCAAAAGGAAAAATAGAAAAGAAAAACAGTTGAATCTGAATGAAATTCCATCCCTAGGTCTAACTACCACTTTCCAGAAAGCACGGAGAGAAGGGACCAAGTTAAACCATCCCACAAGGTGGCAAATTGTAACCTTTTTAAAAAATAAATGACGGGAGGAAAAAGGCGGTGCAGGTAAGGGGGCTGTTGGAGACTAAGAGTGTGTTGTATCTGTTAAAGCAATCCTGAAGCTTTTAAGGCTGAAATTACATGATTGCTGGGGTTTTCTTTTAAAATATTCCCCCAAAAGGAAGAAGAGTCGGGGACAAATAGATGAAGCAAGATGAAACTGGAGATGGATGCTTGGAGACTCGCTGCATTACTCTCTCTGCTTTCTGTGTTTGAAATTTTCCAGAATAACAAGTTCAAACAGAGTTTGTCTTACATATGGCCAGATTTTCTGCTGAAAACATTAAAATCAGAAAGGAATTGCCAGAGCTACTTGTTAAAATACAGATTCTGGGGCCCTACTCCAGACTTAGCGGATCAGAACCAGAAGATGAGGCATACAAAAGTCTGCTTTCTTACAGCTTCCTCCGTGAATCCGCCACAGCCCAGCCCAAGTGTGCCCCCAGCAGACTCGCTGAGATTAGATGACCCTCCAGGCCTCACCCTGAGATCTTGTGGCTCTCAGCCACCCCGAGGCCCCGGCTGCGCTACCTGCAGCCTGAGAACAGCTTCAGCGCAGTGGTGGAGACGGGCGTCAAGGAGTAGGCTCCGGGGAAGGGGAATTATGCCTGGAGACGGTAACTCGAGGGGAAGGCGGGCTCAGGAGACCTTTCCAGGCCTAGACCAGGGCCTGTCTGAGCGTTGAGGGCAGAAGCTGCTGGAGAGAAAGACTGAAGAGAGGAAAAAGACAAGTATCTGGCCAGAGAAAAGGGAAGCCCCAGTGGGAGAGGCTAGGCTTGGAGCAGGAGGGGTGAGAGCTTGACTAAGGTTATGGAAGTTTTAAGAGTAACACCTGTGATTACCTAGAACTCGTCCAGTGCAGCAGCCGTGAGCCGCGTGGAGCTACTGAGCACTTGAAATGTGGCTAGTCTGATTTGAAATATGCTGTAAAAATACAATCCACACTGGATTTTGAAGATTTAGTGAAAAGAAAACCAGTGCCAAATATCTAAATCATTTTTACATTGATTACATGTCAAACCGATTAACACTTTAGAGATGTTAATTTAAATAAAGTATATTATTAAAATTGATTTCACCTGTTTCTTTTTGCATTTTCAGTGTGACTCCTAAGGAATTTTAAATTAATGGCTGGCATGGTATTTCTATTGCTCGATGCTGTTCTATAAGTTATGGAAGCCAGAACCAGGAGAAAACCTCACCAAAAAGCCTTATCTCAAAAGCAACAAAAAACCCTCTCTCTATGACCCCAGAACCTGCCTCATTCAGACCAAGGTGTAGCCAAATTGACGAACAAAGTGCTTGCTAAGCCGACTGATGATCAGTGCAATAAAATCACAGTGGGAAGTGTACACAGTCTGTCCTCAGACCCCACTGACATATAGCAATTAACTCAGTGATGATGCGTCCCTGTCTGGTCACTAAGGCAGGCCCTCGAGGCCCTGCTGTGGGAAGGAAAGCACCAACCAGCAAGCGACCCGGAGGACGGTTCCAAGAAGGACACAGACGGAGGTGCCAGACGGCCTTAGAACTATTATCCACACTTGAGGTGGCAGTCAGTCCTTTCCTGAGCCACACAGTCCTCCTCCAAGGGCCTTTTGGTTGGTTCAGATCTGAGTGTGTTTCCCACCCGGAGTCTGCACCCCCTTCCACAGCTGCGGGTGGGCAGTGAGGTACTTTCTGGACGCCGCCTCCCTCTCCCTCCGGGGTTCTGACATCCTTCAGCCGTTCCCTCCTTCCCCAGCCAGTCTGGACTCTGTGGTATGTGCTTCGGGTGGTTTCCAGCCCGCAGGCGACCTTTCTGTTCCCCGAAGATAACACAGAGCGTGGGTGTTTGCCTGCGGCTGGTGTATCTAAGGCCGACGCTGGCAGCCCCCGCCTCCAGGGGGTGTGGAGGGGGGCATCATTTCTCAGCAGGTGCCTGGTCACCATAGTTGGGGGTTTTTTTTGGGGGGGGTGAGGGCACGCTCTGAAAAGGCTGCCATTCTTCTCTAACGGCTTCTCCACCTTCAGCCCTGCTGGGCCCTGAGGCCAACAGGCCTAAGTTCACGGGGTGACAAGGGTGAAGGCCCCCAAGTGACACGCTCACACTCCGCTGGGACTGAAGGAGGGAGTCCAGCCCCTTCAGCACGCCGGTGCTGTTTTCCAGCAGAAGGTACTCGGTCCAGCCCCTCCCGGGCCCCCACTGTCCCTACAGCCTCAACCAGGGCCCAGTGCCCGCTGCAGTCGGTCTAAGTCAGGGGCTCACTGGACGACCAGCGGTCTCCTGGCTCCCCTGCCCCAGTCCCATCGGGCCCCTGGGAGCCCACGTTCGCTGCGGGAGCAGGACGGTGTAACCGAGGAAGCTTTGTACTGCCAGTCAGGAACCTGGATGGGCGTCCCAGCGCTGCCAGACAGCCGGGTGGCTTTGGGGAAAGCGTGGCCCTTTCGGGGTTCAGTTTTCCCCCAGTGAAATACGGCATGCAGACTGCCGGGTCTGCAAGGTCTCGTTCATCGCTCCTGTGCTCAAGAGCCCGCAGCGGCCTCCCCGCTCCAGAGAAACCCCTTATGCCAGCAACTTCCAAACCGGTGCTGAACCTAACCCAGCGCCACTTTCTAGGCCTTCCCTTATGATCTGCCCCCTGCCACTGCCACCCTCCTCAAGCCCCAAGCCTTCTCCCTGTGGCTCCAGACATCTTAACACCCACGCCTGCTGTTCACTTCCACTCCTGCTGCTCTGCCTGCAGGGGTGCCCTCCCTGCCAAGCCCTGCTCCGCCTCCGCTGCCTCGTTCATGCAGCCCCCGCAGACCACTCACTCAGCCTAGGAGCCACCGCCTGGGCACCCAGCGCGATGAAGCACTCCAGGTAGGAACGGACCCCCACACGCTGTGAGCTAACTCCTCATGGCAGGACACGTATGAAAGATCAGAAAGTAGCTGTAAAGGATTTCACACCCGTCACCTCATTTAGTCCTCAAAGCCACCCCTAGAGGCAGCCCTGAGCAGGGGGACCTCAGCGATCTGCCTGAGACCCATCTGTGACCTGTGCAGCCCCAAGTCACAGCTCCCCTGCCTCCAGGTCCACTCTGCTCCCTCTGAGGACCTGGCCATGTTAACATCAAGCTGAGCTCCTGAGATGGAGGGAGCAGGGGAGTTTCAGAAAACGGAGTGAGCCGAGGCCACAGAGCCATGAAGCTGGGCAGACCCCGGGCCACTCTCCTCCCTGCCACCCAAACCAGGGCAGGGCACACCCAGGGACAGGAGGAGCAGATGTGCCGCACCCACCAACGCAGCGTCTCTCAGTGCATTTGACCTCCATTGTTGATTTCTACCCAGAGGACATGAGCAGTTTTAGTTTCCAAGGAATGTAAGTCAGCCCCCGGAAGCTGGGTTGCCCTGAGATGGGGCTGAAAACAAACACGGGCTGCCTATATAAGGACCAGGCGGCCACTGGGCGCCACCTCTGCTGCGAATCCCAGGTAGGCAATCTCCCGACTCTCGTGTGCGGGTCTGTCTGTGGGTTTAACTCGTCGGGACCGCTGGGCATCCACAGGCCCATCTGAACCAGGGGAGGTCGCACGCCCTGGGGCCACCTGGCTGCTCAGAGGGGGATCTCAGGAGCCGCCTCAGCGCCCCCAGGTCTCCTGGGACCTTGCCAGCTTAGCCTTATTGTCCCTCCTCGAGAAACTCAGCACAAGGTCCTCGGGGCCTAGGACAAACGACACGGGGAGTCTGTCTCACTGCCAAGCATTCCCCCCGCCCGAGCAGTCTTGGTAAAGAGCACACACACCCTCCACCACGCCTACTGCAGGGAGATGGGCAGAGGGAGCCCCTCTGGTGGGGTGTTAAGAGCCATTCTCCTCAGCAGTCACGTTCCCAGGTCGGGGTCCCCACACCCTGTCCGCTGGGCTCTGATGCACAGGGAAGGTGGGGGATGCTACCCGGAGCCCCTCTCTCCTCCAGGCTCGACTGTCCCCCCGGCTGAGGCCATGCCCTCCCCGGGGACCATCTGCGGCCTGCTGCTCCTCAGCGTGACCTGGGTGGACGTGGCCATGGCAGGCTCCAGCTTCCTGAGCCCTGAACGCCAGAGAGCGCAGGTGAGCCGTCTCCCCACAGGCGCCCTGTGATTCTAACTGGGGTGTCTCCTCCTAGCCCTGCCACAGGCTGTGTCACCCAGCTGTGGCTCCAGCTCTCCGGGCTTCAGCCTCCTCCCCGAGCACAAAGGACGACCCTGGGTCTGAGCGTAGGCCCAGACCTCGCACTGTTTGTGGCAGGACGGCGGGGCTTAGGGCCCTAAGAGAACATCCCTCTTCCCAGCAGAGAAAGGAGTCCAAGAAACCATCAGCCAAACTGCAGCCCCGGGCCCTGGAGGGCTGGCTCGGCCCGGAAGACGGAAGACAGGCGGGAGGCGGAGAGGACGAGCTGGAGATCCGGGTGGGTCCCGCTGCAGCTGGCGCTCTCCCAGTGTGGGGGTGAGGGCGGGCGGCGGGGAGACAGCTATCAGCAGGGACCCACTTACCAGCTACTTAAGAAACGCAGACTAGCACAGAAATAGTTGACTGCACCAGTCTCCAAGGTCTTTGTGCGTCAACAGGCAAACACCTAAATAACTTTGCCGCCACAAATGAGGCCCGAGCAGAGGGCAGCGGGGCGCCAGCAGACGCCAGGCGATTTCAGAGGGGAGCCAGCAAATATGGTGCCAAGAGACCGACACCTAAGAGGAAAGGGCTGGTCACAGACTGAACGTGTTTCCCTGCAGAAGACTTTCTGGTTGATTCAGGGGCCCCTCCGCCCTTACCTGGACCAATGAGCTGCCGTGGGCCCAGCTCTCAGCAAACCCCATCCGTAGACGAGGGGCCGTCAGGCTTGCTTGGGCTCTGATGCACCTGGCACGGGGCGAGGGGAAAGGTGAGCGATAAACGGAGGACTGGGAGAGAGAGGGCGTGAAGGCGTCCGAGGGGTTACCTGCGTGACCTTCCAGCCAGGCTGGCGGCCCTCCGGGAATGGTTCTGACAAGCGTTAAGACAGACACCTCCGTGCAGAGACAGCAGGAATCCCTGGTGGCGTTCCCGCCCACCACTGTGCTGCTGCGACTGTGCGCCACGACTTCACAGCCTTCCTCCATCTCACTCCATCTCTCCCACCGGCTGCGAGATCAGCAGGGCTGGCCTTAGTGCTGCTCTTGCACACAAGAACAGAGGTTCAGGCAGCTGAGCTCACTTGCCTGAGGGGCCACAGCCCACATGGGGGCAGAGGTGGGACCCAGTCTGGGGACTCCAGTCCCCAAGCCCGTCTCCCTGTCATCGGTGTGGCAGAGAGAGAGAAGGCGACCCGGGGAGTGCCTCTCACTGTCCCCTCCACCCCGCCCTGGCCTCTTTCCACCTGTCCCCCAGCCTCTGCTCCCACAAGGGGTCACCTCCCCAATCCACGCCCTCCAACCCTCGCCAGGCGCTTCCTGCGCCACGTGTGAGACCCCACCCACCGCATTCCCACTCAATGGTCTGCAGATCCTTAGACTAAAGCCAAGGAACTTTCCTGGTGAGACTGCCAGGTCCTGTGGGGCTGGACGCACCCCAGCCAGAGGAGCCCCAATTTAGCCCAGATGGGGAAAAGGTTTGGTGGCTGACTCACGGCTGGAACTTTCCAGCTTCCACAGAGGAAACGGCAGGCACTGCCTCCGCTGAACAAAGTCTGAAGCGTCCAGAGGGCCTGGGCACCAGAGCCGGTACGGAGCCTGCGACACTGGCCAGGCTCCCCCAGCTCCCGCCCTGGGGCTCCGCCTCGCTCATCGCAGGGTCCCCACTCCCTCCAAACCTTTTCCTCAAATGGAGTTTCAGAGATGGAAGGCTTTTCAGACCAAGTCCCACTCCCACCCCCCCGACTCCATCCATTCCCCACTGACCGGGTGAGACGCTGAGGCCACAGGGTCCTTTACAAGTCACCCGAAGCCACTCTCCCATCCAACAGCCACCACACCTCCTGTCAGTTGCCCCGACCCGGTGCTGGTGTGACCTCTGAGAAGTCTGCTGCTGTGAGCCGACCACCCGCATGAGCCACAGGGGTGGAAGGAAAATGAGTCTTTACTGAAGGGAGGGAGCGGAGGGGCCTCAGTTTCCCCCTGTCAGTCATGTCATTTCCACTCACTCCACCTTCACGGTGCAGAAGAGGGGGAGGTAAACTTTAAAAAGGGAACCAACAGTGACCTGTTGTTTTAAGAACATCTCTGAGCATCTCTGCTCATCTGTGAAATACGAGTTACAGTGGCTCCTGCCTGGAAGGAAAGGCCTAACCCAGGGCAAGGGCTGCAGCCAGGCGGTGCAGCAACAGCCCCTGGGCTAGAAGAGGTCCCAGGGCTGAGTATGCGCCCAGCCCTCGCCACCACCTCCTCCTGTGGCCCCAGGCAAGTCCTTTAACCTCTCGGGGCCTCTGCTGCTGTATCTGAAAGCGGGGCTGAGACCTCCAGTCTGGAGGGCAGAGGGCAGGAGGACCAGTGGCCGAGGGCTCCCCTCCAGCCCCAAGATCCCTTCACCGAGTCATCCGTAATCTCAATGACCAGCACAGCCAGGAACCCGGGCAGTCACTGAGTGAACAGAGGGAAAGACAGACTCCACTCGCCAGGAAACAATGATGTGGCCACGAACAGAGCTCCTTCCTGTTTACCCAGAACTCTGAGCTCCAATAAATCATCTCATAGGCTGCTGAGAAAGCAGGAGAAATGGGGCGCCCTCCCTGTAGAAGGGAAGAGACAGCACAGAAAGAAGAACAAACTTAGCTCGGAGTGTCTTTCTAAGAAAAGGTCAGCTTCCTGTCCGACTGTCCACAGAACAAGCCAAGGCCGGTGCAGACAGGGGACGACCACCTGGGACGGGAGGAAGGGGGGCAGAGACCATCCCCCAGGCTAGTGCCGTGTACACCAGGCAGACCCACTGCCCCCAAATCGCCCTGCCTGGGCCTGAAGCCCTACCACTGGCGACTCAACCTCAGGCCTTCCAAAGCTCTAAGGAGCAGGGAAACGTCATCTGGGGAGCCCCACAGCTTTTGTCAGTAAGCTGCTCAGGGGTGAGGAAAGAGGGCACAGGTGAGTCTCCTAAAGATGGTGGGGGCGGGAAGACCAGGCCTGGGAAGCAGGGTAGCCCGCCTGAGCTGCCCTTCAGTGGTGCCTGCTGGACCCCAGGCCCTCCCTCTCCTGAGGGCCCGGGGCCACCACTGGGATGGAGGAGCAGGAGGGTAGGGGGTGTGACCTCTGACAATTCCTGGGTCCTCCTCCTAGTTCAACGCCCCCTTTGATGTTGGGATCAAGCTGTCAGGGGCTCAGTCCCACCAGCACGGCCAGACCCTGGGGAACTTTCTGCAGGACATCCTCTGGGAAGAGGCCAACGGTAAGTCCTTAGAACTCAGTGCTACAGTCGCGTTCAGAACATGCTCTGCAGCCAGTTAAGCGAAGGCTTTGGTGCCCTCGTCCTCAATCTCCTCTTGCCTCGTGATAAGAAACCACCCAGCCTTTCCTGACTGAGGAGGCAGCCACGTGCCTTTGGAGGCACCACCACCTGCAACATTCCCCACCGATGTCAGGGCCCCACCCACCCCGCGGGCCGGGGGCCGGCACTCAGCCCAGGGTGCAGACAAGGAAACCAGGACTCGGAGCTTTTAGGGGACATGCCCAAGGCACACACACTCCGAGGCCGGTGCTTTATTACAACACACCACCTCCAACATCTGTCTCCCTGAGGGAAAAGCTACCTTTGATGGCACCGGCAGGACAGCAGACACAGAACTTTGACTTGACCTCTTGCTTTCCAGAGGCCCCGGCCAATGAGTGACCGTCCCTGAGTCCAGCCGCCTCTCCGTTCCCCTCTTGCTCTCAGAAGCGCTCACCTGGCTTCCAGAACGCTCCCTCGACCACTCCCAGCTCTGAGGGGTACCAGCCCAGGAGGTGAATAAACACTCAAACTGGACACTGCCTGTTCGAAATGTTTATTTCACCAAAGACGAAAATTTCACATTTCACTGAAAAACAAAAAGCAAAACCAAACCCTACAATTCTTGGTCTATGGTCCATGGGAAGAGAAAATGGAAGAGGTAGCAGGTGTCTGTGCTTAGAAAACTGAATCCGACCAACTCGTACAAGCAGACAAGACTATTAGGGGACAAATGGCAGGAGGAAGTTGGGGGACGGGGGAGGGGGAAGGAGGAGGGGGACAGGAAGCGGGGGGTGAAAGGGAGAAGAAAGAGGAAGTCCCTTTAACTATCAGAGCTTCTGCGTGCAGAGCTGCATCGAGAGCTTACTATCAGGAGGACTGTGTGAACAGGACCCTTGAGGCGGCGTCACAGCCAACGGCCACTGAGCTGACACTTAGGATCAGAACGCGGGTTGGGGAGGGTGTAGCTCAGTGGTAGAGCACGTGCTTAGCATGCCTGAGGTCCTGGGTTCAAGCTCCAGTACATCCACTTTAAAAAATTAATAAAATGAATTTCCTCCCCCCCAAAACAAACAAATAAGAAAACCAAGGGAAATGTGAAAGCATGAGTTTGAAGCTGGACATAATTGGGGCGCTAACCACAGCTAGACACGGCTGCCCTAACTCCTCCCCTGCCCCCATCCTCTATGGAGAAGACCTGGCAAAGCAGATGCCACCTCCTGCAGCCAAGGCTGGCCATGGCCTTGGTGAGTTCATTGATTCAGGACACCAGGTTGATGTCCAAAAACACTTCCAACTCTAGTTCACAGCCGCAGTGAGCCTTGATCCTGAAGTCCCACAGCTTAATTCCAGTGAAGACATGGACCAGTCTTCCTGGGAGGGACGTCACTGGTCGGTTGTCTCCTCACTAGGGTGAGCGTGTGACCCGATTTGAGAGCTGGTGGTGATGGATGGGTGATCGAAGGGGAGAAGCCCTGCCACCTGCCCAGCTGTCAGAAACACACAGGACAGCCTGTGCAGAGCTGGCGTTAACATCCACACTCTGGGCACACCCTCATCACCGAGGGCTCTCTCTAGGAGCCAAGGATCTTTGAGTAAAATTCTGGCCCGCTGGCAATCAAGGTGCAGCCCTACGGCACTAACCGCTGATCAGACGTGGCGACCACCATCCCTCACTGAGGAGCCGCGCGTGGTCAATGACGTCACCACGATCAGGGAACCACTGAGAATGCAGTCTCGGGCCCCATCCCCACCCCAGATCAGCATCTGCATTTTCACAAGCCCCCCAAGGCACCTATCAAGTGGCTTAGAGGCAAGAGGACCCTACTCAGGCAGCTCAGCCCACCGCAGAGCCAGACAGCCCGATCTGGCTCAGAACAGGTGTCGACAGGGGGCCCTCGACACAACTGAGTGCACATAAAAAAGGTGTCCTGTCTCCTCCTCCACTTCCCTCACCCACCGCTCTTGAAGTGCCAGCTGCTGTCAACTCCATGCCCGTCCACTGGGCAGCCAGCACACACACTTGCATCTCAGGAGACCACACACACCTGACTGACTGCACGGTGACTTGGTGCACTGAGCCCTTGCTTCTGAAAGCATCTGCCTCTAAGTGGTAATGACAGTTTGAAAGGAGTGATCCCCACTAGAGGGATCTAAGGTACTGGAGAGCAGGTGGACTCAGTGGAAGAGCGACAGAGGATGCACAAGTCACCCGCAAGACGCCAGCCTCCGCGCTCGGGTGCGGAGACCCACCCGCTGTCCTGGAGCTTGGCCACACCCCAGCTCTGTGGCTTTGCGCAGGCGCAACCCTGATCATCGCTAACCATGCCCACAGCCCTCTCCTCAGTAGCAGGGGAAGCTCCACGGCCTCAGCTGGCCAAAGTGGCCCAAGAAGCCAGCTCCTGACCTGGTGAGAAGCAGACACAGATTGGGCTCAGGGCAGGTGGGTGCCAGGTCCTGGGGGAAATGCGGGGCACCTGACGATCCCCCCACAAAGACAAGAACGTATTTTGTTTCTCGAGGCACACACAAGCCTTCTCTCCCACATGCCTAGGTCCTTCATTCCAGGAACAGGTGTTAGGCACCCACTCTGGACTGGGCTCTCTCCCTGGGGCCATGTAGCGCAGTGTGGGGGAAAGCTATGGGCTTCAGACTCAGACCCGAACGTCAATACCCGCTGTCTGGTCCGGACCAACCTCCCCCCCGGTTACTGTCAAGACTGACACAAGGACACCTGCGCGTAGCAGGCATTCAGTTACCCTAAAAGCCACCACTTACTGCATCTCTGCTGTGCAGCAGGCACTGTGCTAAATGCTTACAAGAAATTCATGTAATGTCCACTGATTTTCATGACAAACCCACTGAAGAGGGAGAAGACTGAACCTCAGAGAAACTGACCTCCCAAGGTCACAGAGCAAACACGTTTCCAGCTCATCCAGAGCTGGGGGCTTGGACCCGTGCTCCCAGGTTCGACTGGCTGTCAACAAAGTCACCCCTTCGCCCTGCTGCCCTCACTCCTCCCCACCCCTGATCCTCCACAGAGAAGCCCTGGCAATGCAGATGCCAGCCTCGGGTCCAGGAGATTCTTTTCGTTTCTGTGTTTCATTTTCCTTCCTAATAAGTGGTGTCAACCTGGAGTGGGGTGAAGACAATTTCAAGTCAACAACTGGCAGAAATAAAACTGGTCACAGGGAACAGGGAGCACACTGGAGAAAATGCAGCCTTTCAAACCCGGTCCCACGTCAGCCCTCTCAGACCTGCCCCTGCACATGTCACTTCCTGACACGACTAATTTCTGGGTCTCTGAAGTGGGTATATTCACCCCTGGGGTGAGCAAGGCATTGGCTACAAGAAAAAATCCTTCTTACAAAACACTTACAAAACATACCCAGTACATCAGTATAGTAGCACGTGTATTTAACTTCTTACGCACTTGCAGGAATGTGCTCAGTTCTCTTAGGACGGTGTGCAAACAGAAGGGGCGAGACCCATGCTTAGCTGCCTTTCTTGTCTGAAGCCACTTCCAAACATCGCTGACGAGTGTTTACAGTGAGCACAGGGGCTGCCCGGCCACCGATCGCCAGCTCTGCCACCTTGGGCACTTCGTTCAAGCCCTGTCACTCGAGTGTCCGTTTGTCCTGATTTTACAGAAATGACTGACGCAAAAATGATAGCGCTCTCAGATGATTAGTATTGGCCCCAAACTTAATATAGAAAGATGGAAAACCCCGGAAACACCACGAGCAGATTTCCAGCCACAAAGAGACTATCACTGGGTGGACACAGCCGCTGTGTGTTCAGATGGGATGCAGCCGAGACAGAGCGAGGAGTGTGCTAGAAAGCCAGACCAATGACTGTCTCCGAGAGGAGGCATCAACAGATTTCAGATGTGTTCAGCATTCTTGGAACGGACAGAGGTTTACTTTCGGCTTGAGCACTTGGGTTCAAGGACACCTTAGGGCAGAACCGGAGGGATGACTGTAAACAATGAAACAGAATTTCCTCCAAAATTTACCCAGAAGCATCCAAGTTCACAGTCCAAAGCCCACAGTACAACCGACCATCAACAACACCCCCGTGTACTCAACTTTTCTTCCTTCCACTGCACTGCTCAGGGGAAAAAAAAAAGAGGAGTCTGTACTTTTCACAGCTAAGCAGCAGCGATATATGTGAGTGTTCCCAGGCAATAAAGTGGGAGTTAATTCTCAAGGCAGCAGAACTTTAAGACGGTACCAGGGATTCTTGGTTCCAGTTTAATTTTGCAGAGGCACGTGCATATGTGAGAATGCATCCAGACCTCTGGATTCTCAGGTTACAAAGCTGGCCAACGACTGACTTCACCACCGTTATCACTCTGAGGAACATAAACAAACATGGAGAGCACGGGAGTTGGCTGAAGAGCCATCGACTTTATTTTCAGAAAGAGATGGCCAAAGGCGGCGAGGGGGCCGAGATACAGAGGCATTCCAGCAACACGGCAAGAACAATCACATCAGCCATCCAAAAACCGAACCAAAAACGCCAGCCCGCCGGCACGCCCGCACAGGCAGCGCTTCACTGTGTCACAGAAATGAAGATCCTAAGTACTAGGGGTGAAAGTACATAGCACCTTGTGCTTTACCTTGGCAGGGAGACTGCAATGGCTCAGAGACGTCCACTGAGTTATCGCGCTTAATCCTCAGACGCGGGCCTGGTTGGTTTCCCGTGGAGGCAGTCATGACTTACAGGCCTTGTCGTGAAGGAGATGGATTAGCTGCAGTTCATTTGGGGGACATAAAGCACTCTGAAATACTTAGTCCTCCAAATCTTCCAAGCAGAACAAGGCCCCGGATTCCCCAAATGTGAGCCGCAGAAGACACACAGCAGATCCGTGAAAGGTGGACGGTGAATCAAGGCCTACTTCCCAGGCCAGCAACTTGGGTACCGTGGCAAGAGGGAAATACCAGATAGGAAGCTTACGAGGTTCAAAAGCACCTTCCAAAAGTACCTGCCACAAACACCTAGAGGAATCCAGCCTAAGTGATGGATCTTATGATTTAAACTACTGGCCTCCAAGAAACAGAGAAGGGACTCAGGGTGGCCTGTCTCACTGAGGAAGATTGGAATAAAGGATCCTTTTGTCCAAAGTGCAGAGTGTCCTCACACTTAACCTTTGATGTCACAACCGTCCAGGGCCTGTAATGATTATACCTTCACAAGGCACCAGCAGGCAGCAGAGCACAGCTCAGAACTTGAGATGACCTGGCTGCACGAAAGTCCGAGGAGGGGATCTCACTTCCACCACAGAGAAGGGACAGAGCAGAGGCCAAGGAGAGCCCCAGGAGGGGAGTTAGACACCAGGCCCACATGCTCCGCAAAGGCAACAGAACAGGGCTGGGCGGTGCCAGCAGAGCTTTGGAGAATTAAACTGGTTTACTTCTCCACCTGGGTGGGACACACAAGGGGCTGTTAACATGAGATGAAACAGGAGTTATTTTTGGTCCAATGTTCCAGGAGAAGGGGGCAAAGTGGAGTAAAGGGCAGCTGGGACCCCCGACAGCAGACCAGCAGGTGGCTTCTGCTGCAAACTGGGCCCTTTCCATCTAACACAACCGAGCTGCAGCCCTGAGGGCACCTGACAGTGGGAGCACCTTCCTTGGGGTCTCCTTCCTCAAGTCCCCCCATCTGTCCACATCTCCCCAGGCCAGAACTCGTCCTGGACATTGAGCGTCCCTCTGCCCGCTCAGATCAATGGCAGCAGAACCAGCGAGACCAGCAGCCGAGGTTCTTCTGCCTGAGCCGACATGGAGCTGAAGGGCAACAGTGAAAGCCAAACCGAAGAGTCGTCCAGGAAAGGAGGGGCTGCCTGCACTGGCTGCAGGACAGTAAGCTCCACGAGTCTCCGGCAAAGCCCCCCGGAGCAGAATTCCCACCTGGGAGTCCGTTTTTTAGCGTGGAGAACCAGGAACCCAGTTACACGCCCACAGGCGCCGAGACGAGGAGGAGTGTGGTTACGCACAGGCTGCCAAGGACAGGGACTGGCAGGCACGCTCGCTGCGCCCTCCCGTCAGCCTCTCCCCCTCCACCGAAGCCCCGGGGCCCCGGCCCGGGAGGCCAGCCCGCACCCTCACCAGCACCACTGTGCGCCTGCCGCCCACCCCCCACAACAGCCGGAAGCAGGAGCCTTCGAACGGGTTTCAGGAAACATCCTGTCCAGGTTTCCTCCATTCCAATGGGCTCTCAAACACATCCTCGAGCTGGGACACACACAGTTCACACGGCCTTTCTGCCGTCAGGCCGCTGGTCGTCTGGAGGGCGGCGAAGAGAAAAGGAAGAAGGTCAAACTCAGGTTCACTCGAGACAGACGAGGCTACGTGCTCACCCTACGTTTACATTCTCTACATGAAGAATCAGAGAAAAAGCCATTTGGGGTCTGATGTTTAGAAAATATGTAACGTGACTTTTATCACCTTTTCTGGGAGACTCCTGACGGCACCCCATTGGCTTAAAGGCTGTAGAGGCGACAGGTGTTCTCACGCAGGGTGGCCAAGGTGCGGGCCAGCGGCAGGTCTTTGACCCTGGCGATCTCCCGGACCGTATGCAGGGCCAGGCCCGGGTGGGCGTACTGGCAAAGGCTCCTGGGAACCTGGAAGACACCAAGCATTCAGAACGTCGCTGTGCCTTCCATGCACAGCCGTCACAGCGCCCTCCCGGCCCTTCCCCAGCAGGATCTCTCCGGAGCTGTGTCGAGACCCCTTTACCTGCAGGTGCAGGGAGAGTCCCAGTCAGGGGGGCTCTGGGTGAGCAGGGTCCCACGCTTCCTTGGACCACCCTCTACAGGGTGGGGCTTTGCACTGCCTGGAAGAGAGTGGTTACCCTTCAGCTTCTCAGCCCCCTAGACTTTGGTTCTGTAAAGCAACAGAGAGGAGACATCTACACAGCCAAGGGTGGGACCTGAAAAGTTCCTGCGGCTCTGGTCCTGCCGACCTTGCACGGGGGACCGCCCACCTCCCGCCCTCTCCCCGCAGTGCCTCCACGCAGCTCCAAGACACCCTCACCTGTCGAGGCAGGAAGTAGGGTGCATCGGTTTCCACGATGATCCTCTCCAGCGGGATCTGCTTCAGAGCTTCCCGGGCCTCCCAGGCAGAGGAGTAAGTCAGGACGGCCGTGAAGCCCACGGACATGTTGGGGAAGTGCTCCAACAGGGGCTCGATGACTGGGTAGCTGCCGGTGAAGCAATGCCTGGGGGAGGGGAATCCAGATCAGGGCTCTCTCATCAGCCCTCGGCAGAAGCCCCACCTCCCTCTTTACACCTCCTTTAAATTATTTTCTGTGGCTCAGTTCTCAGAAGTGGAAAGACTGCATCCAAGGGAACAAGTCCACAGGAAACACAGTCAGAAGCAGAATTACAAACTGTAGCCCCTCTGGATTACAAACACAGTATCAGCTTTATCCATGTAATCAAATGAATTGGAAGGAAACAAAAAATAAAAATATTGGGGAGTGGGCCCATAGGTGCACATTCTTCTCTTAATCCGGTATCTGTCTATGTTCTTAGTACAACACACACTGGCCCACAAGCCGAGTGCCTGTGCTTCATCTCGCCTCTGGTGTGGGCATCCCCTCAGAGGCGTCACTCTCTCTGCCTGGGCATCCGAAAGGCACTGGTCTGGAGGCCGAAAGCCCCACCCCCTTCAGCCACCTGTCACCACCTGGCCTGGGTTCTAGACTCTGTTTTTTCAGTTAACTCATCTCACCCATCTTGAAAGAGCCAGCCGACATCATCTCCTGACCCCCTCTAGCCAGAATCAGCTCATGGCCCCTCCGCTGGCTCCCACGGCACCTTCTGCCCACCCACCCCGCCAGCCCTGCACTCTCTGCACACGTCACCAGCTGACTATCTCCCACAGCTCCTCCAGGGCGCCCCGAGCCAAGCCAATGCCCAGGGCAGGCACATGGTGGGAGGTCAGTGAGTTTACCAAACTAAAGAACCCCTCGATACCATTTAGATAAAATACACCCGAGATTTTAACAGGGGTGGTGGGAGGAATGAGCTTTCAAGTTCAAGAAAGCAAAGAAAAAATTCTCTCAGGTGCCCTGGAATGTTCTCTGTGCACTAAGTCACTGGAACCCACAGCAGCCTCTTCCAGGATCAACAGCTCCCACTTCTGAGAACCAAGCCTCTGTTCCAGCCTGGTACTGGAGAAGGGGCCACAAAAGCCCCTCCTTGCCCACTGGTGATTTAGGGGACCAGCTCAAACCATTTAAGTTGCCGTTTTATAAATAAAAAATGATCAAACAGCAGAAATCGCCTGATTCAACCTGACAGTTAACCCTTAGGAAAGACCCTACGTAAAGACGTACTGTTCTCAACCGTCTCCTCACTGAGTTTGTTTTGCCCACTAACGCCCTGGACAGAGGCAACCGCTCACTGCATTTGCCCGCTGAAGTTCCAGCCCTCCCACCTGTGAATCTTGTAGTCTGGAGGCACGAACTTTTTCATGATTTTCAGCAGATCTTCGTCAGCTTCTCGGCAGTGGATCACCAAGGGCTTCCTTAGGGACACGGCCAGCTGCAGCTGCCTCTCAAACACCTGGAGAAGACAGAGCGACATCCGCGGGTTAGGACCACCAGTTCGGATGCCTGACGCCTCCAGAACCGCCAGTCCAGTGGGCAACCGCCACTGTCTCCAAGTCTTTATTTTTGAACTACATAGTGCATGGTAATAGCTAACACCGAGTGCTTACCAGGTAGTGTTATTATTCGGCTGTATTATAACCTGTAATCCTCTAAAGCACCCTAAGATAGGTACTGCCGTTGGCCCATCATGCAAACAAACTGAGGGTTCTAATGAGGCCAAGCAACTTGCAGCCGTAAGCTGGAGCACCACGATTCAAGTCTGAACGCAGGCTTTCCACGCGGCAACCACTACGCAGTGCTTATTTGGGATCACAGGGGCAGGGCGGGGCTCAGGAACTCAATACAAGTGAAATGTCCCTCCCTTCACTGCCCTCACCTCTAATCCCACTTCCCAAGAGGCAGTCAATCACCCTGCACACCTTTGCCTTTGCAAAAAGTTGCTATATATATACACATATATTTATGCACAATGCCCAGCTCTCAGAAGATGCTCCAGTATTTGTGGAAAGAATAAATACTACACCTGTTTTCTTCAACTTGCTTTCTTTACTTAACCAAAATCAGATCTCCTAGGTGAATACCTACAGATATATTACTTTTTTCCCTAAACTCTAGCCACTTTCAAAACTTTAAGTAAAATACACATGTTGCTATTAATTTTATTGAAAAAAGCAGGGCTAGAACTTATTCTTTCCCCAAACAAGTTCAGGTTTAGAAAAAAGTACAAAAATACAAATTCATTATAAACAAAATACCTCATCGTAAACTTAATATTTCCATGAATAGTTTTCTTCAATTGTGGAGTGTAATTCGTGTTTGAATTTTTTATATTAATTAATTCTTTATCAAAGTACAGACAATTACAGCGTGTCAATTTCTGCTGCACAGGACAATGTCCCAGTCATGCTGTGTTTGAATTTTTAACACTAAGATGCTTTCAGTAACTTGAGTCAGGTGACATTCACTTGAGAATGACATTTCCAAGTCCAACACTTGTGCCACCTCCTTTTACAATAATGGCACTGAGCCAATACCAAGTCTGACATAACTCTTGTGAGACCTGTGTTTTCAACTAAAAGAAAGTGACCCTAGGTTACCAACAGGACAGAATGCTTGCTGAGGACTTTAAAGATGGGCTAGTTCCACGATCTACAGCTGGCTGGATCCCCTCCCCAACACAACTGCCCTCCTTGAACCCCTCCAGAGGCAAGAGGCTCTAATTTCAACATTTAATTCCGGCTTCTAAAAAATTATTCCTCGAGAAATTAAACTATTATAGCCTTGGAGTGGAATAGTACACAGTTGTTTAAAAGCCTATTTTTCAAAGCATATTTAATGAAGCAGGAACATTTTCACAATGGAAAAAACATTTAAAACTATTATTATTTTTTTAACTTCCTAAATTCTTTTTTAAGAAGCATGTACGTACAACACACGTGTCCTTGATTCTCTGACAGGTGCTTGTAAGACATGCTACCAACTGTCCCTTGCAATTCTCTAGGGGACAACAGCATTAAAAATACGAATTTCAAAACACATCTGAATTTCACAAATGTTCAGATGGAAGAATCGTTGGGGCGCAGGAACTGTGGCTGGGTTGGAGCATCTGTCCTCCCCAGGAAGCCAGCTGAAAAAGAACAGGGGTCAACGAAGCACAGTGGGAAGGCAAAGTATTATGACGCAAACAGCCACCATCTTGGATGGAATGGGAAGTTACCTTCTTTACACATTTTTGCATTTTCCAAATATTCTCCAAAGGGCATACTTAACTTTCAAATCAGAATAAAAATATCTTGTTTAATTAAACAAAAATGTGTTGCTTGCCAAGAAGGAACAATAGCTTTGACGTCGAATCATTAGCTGGAAGAAGTCCCAGCGTGCCTGTTCCCCTCTCTCTCACATAATAAAGCTGGAAGGTAAGAAACAGCTTGTGAAGCATTTCACAAATGCCATCTACATGGTCTGGGTAAGAATAATCCAATTTTTAGAGATGCTAAATTCTTCAGTTCCAAAAGCAGAGAAACCCTTACTGGTAGGTTTCGACAACTGAAAGAGGAACTTAAAACTGTAAGCAAGCTAAAGAGGACGTTACCTTGTGCTGCTCTGGGACAGGCGTGGTGCACTTATGAGAGTAATCCAAACCCATTTCCCCAAATGCCACAGCTTTGGGGTGCCTTAAGGCTTGCAGAAGATTTCTTTCTTGACTCTCATTGTAGTAACGTGCAAAATGGGGGTGACAGCCAAAGGCCCCCCACACCAGATCCTCTTTCAAAAGGTCCTCCCACAGGCAATCTGTCAGTGTCCGAGGATCGCAAAAGTCAGAGATGCAGCCCTGAAATTCCTTAGGGAAGGAGCTGCTGTAAATTTTCCTGAACTTTGTGAAGGTCCCTTTGAAAGACAACTTGGAATAGAGCATGTCCAAGTGACAATGGGTGTCGATGAAACCCTCTAGCCTGGGCTCCCGACGGCTCCTTGGCAGGGAGCTGGATGCGTGTCCTCCACACGGACGTGGTGGTGCATCCTCCCGGAATGTTCTTTTCTCCTTCACCTCTTCTTCTTCTGAGCTTCTGGAGAAACGAGATGAACGAGAATCCCGGGATCTGCCTTCCTTGGCGGCCTCCGGGCCTCTGCAGGTGTTCTGGGAGCTCACTGTCGAGCTGGGGGAAGAGCCCCGGCCGCCCTTCCCCGCCTGGGCCGTGTCTCCACTGCCACTGCCCACGGAGGGGTAGCTGGAAGTCTGTGGGCTGCTGGTCCAGCAGCTGGCGTAGTCACACCAGGGGCTACTGTACAAGTGGGCCGGGTACATGACGTAGTCAGTGGGGAAGGCAGAAGGCGCTGGAGCTGCTGAGAGTTTCGGGGAGACGGGCTCCTCCTGAGAGAACCTGACTGTGGAAATCTCATCCACGTCGGACCAGTCGCTTCCCGAAGAGCTGTGCTCCATCACCACCTCCCTTTCTTTAGGCTGCAGGAAAGGAAAGCAACAAAAGGTTAGCCTTCTTCCTGGGGGAAGACAGCCTCCCAAACTGCAGAACAGAAGCCCTGGCTGTTTTTCTGGCCACGGTGATGGCTTTGCCTTGGCTCCTTAGCTCACTTTGTCACCTGGTTTCCTTATTATTTCCAGAGAGCAAGGCAGGTTCCAGCTAGGAACCATCACGTCAGCTTCAGAGAATAAACTGGTGACCGTGGTCTTAACATGCCACCCCCAGAAGGGATGCTATGCCTGCATTCGCTTTCTGAACGCTCCCCTTTGGGAAAAATTCTCTAGAACTCACTGGGTGTCAGGGTTTTAGAGAAAAGCACTGCCCAACATCCCATCTCCAACACGTCTCTACACATTCAAAATTCAAACCCACACAGCTGCGGAGGTTTTAAGATGTGCCTGCAAATTCTTGACATTTCTCTCCATTGAAAGGTGGGGTTTGAGACCCCCTCCCCCTGAACCTGGGCAACTGGTACAGTAACTGTACAACAGGATTACAGACAAGACACCGTGCTGCTGCCAGGGCTAGGTCAGGATGGCCTTGCCGTCTCCCCGGTTCTCTCTGCTTACTCCTCTGTGGGAGGCCGACCGTCAGGGCACCTGTGACCAAGCTAGAGAGGTCACAGGCAGGTGCCATCATCAACTGCCCGACATGTTCACACACGGGTGCACATCTTGGTGGACCAGCCGTGCTGGGCTCTCAGAATGCAGCCCCACCAATACCTGAATGGAGCCACATGACAGAACCCCTCCAACACTCACCCGCTACCAACAAAGACCTGCCCAGTCTAGATCTTTCTCAATTCCTGACTCACAAAATTGAGAGCAAAATAAATCAGTTATTTTATGCCACTAGGGAGTAATAGTAACTGAACAACAATACGTTGCATTAAATCAATTTAGCCCTGCTAAAACATAAGTTACAAAGTCAGGAACTTTTACTTTCTCCATTGGTATCTCCTGAACATCCCGAACAGTGTCTGGCATACAGTAAGTGCTCATACTGTATTTGAATTAATTTGTAGAATAAATCGTGCAATGATTTCTGAACTTAGCTTCACATCAGAACCACTAGGCGGGTTTTTTAAAAACAAAGCTTTTTAAAGGCCCGCCCTAACCAGACACTGATAGGTCCAGAATGG